ACCCGCGGGGCTCCACGCGCGGTACGGACCACGGACGGAGCACCCACCCGCGGGGCTCCACGCGCGGCACGGACCAGGGACAGAGCACCCACCGCGGGGCTCCGCGCAGCCAGGACGAGCAGGGAGGCACCGGGATCCAGGAGGCTCCTCACGGCCGCAGAGGCCGGACCCGAGCGCCCGCGCTGGGCACCCAGGGCAGAAGCTAAGGAACCTCAGTGCGAGACGCGCTGACGGGTACACTGCCAAACTTTTATTGAGTTATTAGAACAGAAAAGACTGTTGGCAAGGGATTTTACTATTGCCAAGTTTAATAATATTGAAAGCTCGCCTTTTTATTTCAATTCATTCCTTTGTTTTCAACTACTGTAAGAACATTTACACAAGAGCATTACAATTTATGAAATATTTAATTTTTAATCGAAAAGCACATAACCTAAGCTTAACCTAATCAGAATTGTTCCTTCTAGGCCATAGAGATTTCACAGATTTTGATGTAGCTGCATAGAAATAAATTGCCTACAGAACTAGTCAAGTATGTTTGCCAAAAGGGAAATATTTTCTACACCAGAATTAAAAATTTCCTATACTACTTGGGGTGGGTGTTGCTTCCCTCTGCCTCTCCCAACCACCCCGAAACACAAAACAAACCCAAACCCAGCCTAATCTTCATCCTTCCGTGTGTTTTCCTAGAGGTGACTGTGCTCCTTTATTTGCTGATCCGGTAACCAAAACCAGGTACGGGTTAGTTTGTACCAGGCATGCAAGGATAGAGCGCGGCCGCTCCGCCTTTTTGTTTAAAAATCTAGCAATCAAAAATGCAAGGTTTGATATTGCTTCCTTTGAAAACTTTCCAAAAAGCACATAAGGAACATATACAGAAGGAAATATCCCAAAATTTTATAAAAGCTCATCTGAGACATGCTGCTGTTTAAACGCCCAGATACTTGTAGTACTGAAGGGACTGAAACAACCCGCACATTTGCGATGGGCAGCGCGAGGCTGCGCTGCAGTAACGGCCGGCACCAGCGCCGCGCTCCAGGCTGCTCGGGAAGGGGCTTCTGCCTCGCAGACAAAGCACTCGCTGCACAGAGGACTCACAGGCTTTATTTACACTCGTCTACAGATTCGTTTTGTCTTACATTTCATCTAAGCCAAATTAAACCATAATTTTCCTTTGTCTGTAGCCTACCATTTGCTAAATTTAAAAGCTTTCATCTGTTAAGTACAGCAACAAGCTATTACAAAGCACAAGGGAAAAAAAGGTAACAACATAGCATCTATTAGGTCTGATTTTTACAACTTAGTAGGTGGACTTTAAAGAAGTCAGAGGCACAGTTAACAAGACTAACCTGTTCTTGTGCAATCTACACATATTTAGCATGGAAATTAGATATAAAACACTAAAAAAGAAATTGCAGGGTGTTTTCTGCAAGATTATCAGAATATTTCTTCACCAAAACCACTTTGCTTGGGTATCAGTCCAAAGAAGTTCACTTCTTAAGAGAAACAAAAAAGGGAGAAAAAGAGAAAAAGGAAAAAAAAAGAAAAAGCAGGACGTAGTTTACTCTGTTTGTTCTGTGCAGTTCATTTTATAAAAGCAGCTATCAAATAAGGGTTTGGAAACTTTACTACTGAAGTAATTGCAGATACATTGCTCCTCGTTGGCTTAGAAGAGTTTTCCTTAACATACTTACCTTGTGATGGCACTGAAGATACTTAAACCTGTCTTAACCAAACAGAGCTCAAGTGACCAAGTTTTAATGTAATATTGCTATCAAAGTCCATAAAGCATTTTAAGCCATAAGTTATACATGTTTGAGGGACAAGAATGATTGAAAAAACACATCTGAGGTGTTGGAACTTTCTACACAGTTTATTATTTTTCACTTTTAAGTATAAGAAAAATGAGATACCTTGAAATTTTTGGTCAGCCTAAAATTTTACAGATGGCCTGCAGAAACTTCACTTGATTCCAAGAAGCTGCTTCCACATTCCTCCCCCTCAAGAGTAGTTCCTAAGCAATGGATCCTTTTGCGGGGCAGGAAGACAAGCTCCAGAATCCAAAGCTGCCGCTGCAGCGGGCGCGAAGCCAGGCAGAGGCCGAAGGAACCAGGTCTGTATCGCTCCCTACAGACAGGCTGGATGTGTAATTGCTATTCTGCACTACACCGGCCTACAAAGAAACAACGGGGGCACTGGGCTATGCTTTTACTTCAACACAGGGGAAAAAAATCCAAAAAGGTTCCAAAAACTCACTGCCGTAACCTCAGGTTACACTAGCCCTAGAGCTACACTAATCCTGCGTGGTCCCGCGAGAGGTTCGTTAAAGCAGCCCAGGAGCTGGATGCAGAAAGGTGATGGGGTCCTCCCATATCCTCCTCCGTTTCTGTAACTGCCACCTGAGAGTGGTTGTGTTAGAACAACAGATCCAACCCATGTCTGCTCCTACCTAACAGCCAGGAATGGAGTAACTGAGTCTTTAAAAAACAATAAAAAAGAAAGAAAGAAAACAACTTACTCAAACAGCAAAACTTCACACCTCCTCTGGGGAGTTTATGGCTTAAAATGCTACCTCACTTTTTCTTGTGAATAAACAAAGCTGCAATTTTCCAGAAAGCAAGGACAGACATGCACCTCTACTAGCAGATTCAGCACTTCTGACCAAGTAAGACACCAACTTCTTAAAAATATGGCTCATGCACTGACTGGATTTTCTTTTCTTTTTTTTTTTTTTTTTAAATTGTGAACTTTAATACGTTATTTCTTTTTAGAACTTGTACGGGAACCAGAATGGGAAGATCCGGATGATGATCTGCGGCGTCTGCAAGATATAAATGGAGAAAGCATGCAAAGAAATAAGTTGAAGTTAATTTCAGCATCCTCCTCGAGTAGAGAGTAGACTGTATTCTATAATAGCTGGAAGCCATGTATATTTAATAGGGGCCTTTTAAGAATATAAAAATAATTTTAAACTGCCTTTAAGCTCATGAATGTGAATTTAATACTAAAGTTGTATGGTAAATTTAATACTGAAAGTAGCCTACAATTTCTAGGTGCAATATTGCTTTGGACAATAGATTAGTGATATACATGTCAACACTTTCACACGCTGAAAGAGTGGCGAGAAGGTCTTTCTATGGAACATGCTCCTAACAGGACAAAGTTCCATTAAAAAAAATGAAAAGCAAAAAACTTGAGAGGTTTTAAAAAGTAGTAACAGAACAGGGAAAGTGAGAGAACTACTTCTAACATCACAATAACTGATCAAACTTTTTTTTTTTTTCTCCCAGTGAGTCTCAATCCTTTAGAAAAAAATATCACACATTTAAATACACCCATTCTTATTCTACATAAACCCAAACCTTTCGGGTGACCGTGATCTCGATCGTCTTTTTTTGCGATCACCAGATGAAGAAGATCTAGAGCGACTTCGCTTCTTGCTTCTCTCGGGCGAAGATGAGGAGCGAGAGCTTGAGTAAGATCTTTTCCTTGGGGTTGAAGACCCCCTCAAGGACCTGGAGCTGGATCTTTATTGATTAAGAAATAAATCAGATTTAATTCTGGCATAATGCAGAAAGAACAAGCAAAGAACAAAGAGACATTTTCATGAGCACCTGCTACTCTATTTACATCAATGTTCTTTTGAAAGAAGTCTGTGGATATTTTAATACTTACTGCTTAGTTAACTGCCAATAAAGACTTCTACTGGCATGGTAGTTCTCTTAATAAAATTTGTTACATGGTACATCTCAAAATATAACCCAGCAGTGGTTTGGAAAGCCCTTTCCAGCCTTCTCCCAAGATGAGTGTTTTGGTCACAAGCTATGGGAGCCTGCGACACCCCTCAGCAATCCCATTCACAAAGCAAAAGGGGTTGAAATGCCAGACGTTGCACTAACTTAACTGTGTTTCTCTATGTATTAAAGGACATTTCACATTGGAACTTAATTCATCTTAACTAGAATTGGAAAAGCCCCTCAGGATGTATAATTTACAGATGTCACAGTAAATTTGGGTAAGTAGTAAGACCTTCCAAACCCATAATATAACAAACAAACAAAACCACCACTACCCCTCAACCCTCTTTGTAATACAGTCATTTGGCATTTGCAACAGTTGAACCAGTTTCTATCAAAAATTCCTTTTGTTATCTGAGGGGGAAAGAAGCAGCTTTTGGAGTTTTTAATAATAAGGCACTAGAGCTAGACAGTCCTAAACTCTATTCCAAAGTTACATAAAAGCATCTAACAGGATTTTTTTCAGTAACCTAGTAAAACTGTTCCAAACCCAAGATTTTGGTCAAATATTGTCAGCGCTCTCGTAAATAATGAAGCACTTTCATCTTTGAAGGCAGCTGGCACAGAGGGCCCCTCAGTGGGGCAGGGTGGCACGAGCCAACAACCCTGTCCTGCTGACGAGGCACCCGGGGACCCGCACGGAGCCTCTGCCACCAACCTGGGGCGGCCTCGTTTCTGGCTGCTTCTCCTTCCCAACTTAATTTCACTTTCCTCATTTTACAGTTTAAGGCTCTCTACATGCACAGAGAGGGATGGGGTCCTCGTTCCATTGCAAAAGCAAAGTTCCGCCGGCAGGATGCCTGCGCACGGACACCCCAAGGAATCTGCACGATCCCGTTCATCCTTCCTGCACAGTTCAGTAACTGCTATGCAGAAAGTACCAGCTAACTCCAAGTTCTGCAGGCAGCTCGCGGGATTAACCGTCCAACACTTGCAAACAGTTCCCCACGCTTACAGAGACAATTGCAGCACTATCTAGTGGCAGTTAAACACGTTAGCACTAAACACAGTAAGCAGAAGCGCAGCATGTTTCTAGACAAAGTGGAAACAGTAAAAACAGAGCAAAAATTACTGAAGTAAGCAAGCATGCATTCAGATTCTTCTTCCTTCACAGGGCAGATGTGTGTAGTCCACTCCTCTAGCTCTAGGTCACACTTACAACTCCTCCAACCAAACCTTGCACTCCCAAGAAACACATTAGTAGTGGCACCGATCTTGTGCAGAGACCCCGGGAATTCTGACTTCCAAGACAAAAACGAGTTAATGTTTTTTGACCAACACAATTCTACGATGAGATAAACAAGCAGTTGGTTCTTCTGCCCTTTCTCCTCTCTGCAAGGGGAGAATGCTACCTCATTCACCTTGATTTCGACCCACGAGATCTAGAGTGCTCTTGGGAGCTGGAGCGAGATCTTGATCTGGAGCTGGAAGAGCTTCTTGAATGGGACCTGAAACAACAGGGAAGACTTTTTCCAATATCTAACAGCTCCGGGACACACAGAGGTTGCTCTAAAACTAGATACAGAATTTTGCCTAGCAAGACTTTGAAACAATAGTCTTTATTATTGTTAGTTTTTGAAAAATGGTATTGGTGTTCTTTCTGTTGTGTTTAGCAGAATAACTGTTAGTGTTAGCAGTAAAGCCTATGCAGAGGCTTTACTTTTTTAGTAGAGTTTCCAATGCATAGGGACATCTGGACTTAGTCACTAAATGAGTGACAATTTCCTTCATCCCTCTAATTTCACATTACATTTGGAAACAGAAACATAGTAAAGAGCATTCAAAAATGTATAGTTTGGTTTTTATTACATTTCCTAAAACAATGGAAAAAAATTAACAAAGGTTGCAGTTATCTGGCAGAATGTATCAAACAACTGCATAACCTTTTACTATTTCATGAAACAGCTTTTCTTTTAATTTGTGCCTTAATCTGAAAGCATCAGCTTCTCTGAAAAGCAGAATAATGAAGACTATTACAAACAGCTCATTTTTTTACCAAGTGAGTTCTCACAAACACCTTGTAAATAATGTCAAAATTTTTATAAAGATTTTCCTCTGCATTAAAAATTAAGGAGTGAGAAGGAAGCTAATTTCTGGCTAAAACATAGGCCCTGCCAGCAGTACTTGTAAGCAGAGACAGAAGCACCTTCAAGTTTTTCCAGGTGACAGTGTTTCTTTAAGGCACAAACCATAAGAAGTTTATAAAAATGGCACTGGACTTTCAGCAACAATTGTATAAAGCAGACTGCACAATCAAATTCTAATAATCTCTTCAGGCAAACTATTTTATACATGCACTCAATCTCCTAGTATATATTGTCACTATATACTGTCTCTCTATATATACTCTTTTTGCTTTTACTCTGCAAAACAAAAGCAGTATGAACACATGCTTTCTAACTAGAAAACACACTTAAACCTTTTAAAAAAACTCAAGTATCTCAAAGTGTCATAAAAGGCAACTGCTATTGCCAATGGATCACGTTACTAAAAGCATATAAAAGAAGATCTGAAAAAAAAGGGTCAGGTAAATCCAAGTACTTTTTGCTTCCCCGTCAGGATGTGGGAGTTCATGCACGGGGCTATGCTCGGAAGCAGCTTTTGCATCGTGTTTGCCCCGCTCGGCACGGTGCCGCGCGCAGGACGGGGACGCGGCGCGGCGGGCTGAGCGCGGGGGGCTGCGCTGCTCCGCGCCCAGGGGCCCTTCCGCAGCGCCAGGAGGAGCAGAATTGGGAACGGGACAGGCACGAAGCTCCGTAATAACGCCGTGCGCTAGTACTAATTGGAGGTGTTGAACCTGCTAATTAATATCATCCTTACATTAGCTGCGAGGCAGCGAGAAAGCTACAGCTTGCTTTACATAATGTGATTATGGAACATATATCAAGTTGTTTATGGAATTTCAGTAATTTCTGATCTCTTACATTGGTACCAATCAGATTTTTTTGTGTCCCCACGACCGCTACACACCTCCTCTGCTGTTTCTGCAGCACCACCACTCTGCTTACAGCCCTGCTTGCCTCTTCCCACCAAATAAAGCTCAAGCTCCTGCTCTCTGCTTCCCTCAGCCCCTTCACTGGGCGCTCGGCCTGCATCGCTGCCCCTTCTGCCACCTCCTCCCACTCTCACACTCCTGCCCTTCTGCTTCCCTATTCAGGGCTTCTCAGAAAAGTGCAGCCATTCAGCAAAACATGGTCAACACGTGCAAAAATGAATCTGAAACTAACTTTTTTTTTCTTTTTTTTTTTAAAAAAAACTTATTTCAAGGATTCAGTTAAAACATCAACTTAAATAACTAGAACAAGCAGGAAGGCACGAAGCCTTCCCACTGAGCTGCTGCAGAAGGCCAGGACAGAACATTATCTACCTGTGTCAATTATGGAGATAAAATTGTTAACATTATTAGCTAAAACTATAAGACAATTAAGAAAAAAAAGTAAATAAAGAAGTTAGATACTGACATTTTGCCTGGCGTTACCCTTGACCTGTACCCGTTTACCTGGACCTAGACCTTGAGCTTGAATGGGAGGATGAGCGCGATGAAGATCGTGAGTGGGAAGATCGAGACTTAGAACGACTGCGCCTATTGGATTTCTTTTTCTTATTAGTGTCCTCTTCTTCACTAGCATCAAGATTATATTTTGAAAGGTCAGCATCATCTTCATCCTCATCCTGCAAAACACAGATACCAGGTACTTCAAGAAAGATGGAAAAAAATCTCTGAAATTTTCAGTTTTCTAACTGGAAAAAAAAAGTCTGAGATTTTTAATAGATTACACATAGAATTCAGGAACCCCCCACTGATGTGCTAGCCACGCAGAAAGGCTCCAGCCAGCCGTGTCAGAAGGCTAGCACCTAAGCTTTAATTTTTATGACACAGTTCAGGTGCAGGTGCTTTCCAGAAGCTGCGTGCCCTGTTATCCTCACATGGCTGCAAAGGCAGCACAAAACACGGGCCAAACTTTATCTACTGCTACAACACTACATTACAGTTACCACTATGGAAAGCTATCAGCAAAGCAGAACACAGTACCTCATCCAATTTATATTTGGAAAGATCTTCATCCTCATCCTCCTCATCTTCCCCTTCAGATTCTTTATCTTCCACTTCTTTCAGGATAGATGCTGGACCAACTGGCTTCCCTCTATACTTTTTCTTTTTGCGACCAAACTGAGAAATATTACTCCGTTAGAACATGACTTATCAAAACTCATTTCCAAATGTACTTTTTGATATGATTTCTATGAGAAAATATAGAGTAAAATCACTTTTAAAAGAAGTAATACTCAAAGAGGAGTAACTTCAAACAACGATTAGCAAAAAGAGACTTTTTAACAGATACTTATTTTAGATCTAAACAAGTACTTAGACACAAGATTAATAAAAGCCTGAATGTAACAAAGCTGTTATTTTTCATTTGCATCTCTGTGATATCTTTCTGTAAACAAACGCTGATCACCAGGCAATGCCCCGAGGCCGATTCCTCGAGCACTTTAAGAACGGTGCTTGTCCCAGTTGGATTTGATTCGGTTCTTGGCCTTGCCCCCCACAAAGGCCCGGCCGTGCTCACTCGCGCTTCAGAACCGCTTTGCACTTGGGCACTCGTGACAAGAGAGGCCTCTCCTCATTTGGAAACCGAGCGTGAGCAGCCCTGCCCCAAGCCCCAGGCCCACGAGACACGAGCGATCCTCTTACCTCGTCGTACTCTCCATCCGACTCTTCACGTTCTATATATTCAACATTCTCACGCTCGTTAAATCCTCCTCCGTATCCTTTAAAAAGTGGTAAAATGAGACAATCTCTTGGGTTGTGCTGTATTCCACTACATCGAGCGCAAACTTTAGAATAAACTTCCATGCGGTTTCTGGAAGCCTTCAGTGGATTTATAAATATACATGCCATAAAAACGTAACACGAGCACAAGTTGTTCCCACACACATTTATTAAAAATAGTTCCTCAGGAACTCAATTGAGAAAATGGACTAAACGGCACAAATGACACGGAGCCCGATGGAAGCAGCGGGTGGAGGAACAGGCTTGAGGGGTGCCGAGCCCCCGTGTTCCCAGGGCAGCTGCACCGGGTCGGCCTCGGAGCGTCTCCGGTGCCGGAGGCCTCGACACCGGCCACGGCCTCCGGCAGCGCCGCTCGCTTGTGCTGGAGGGACAACCAGCAACCGGAGAAGCCAGCGGCCGGAGCCGACTCCTCGTCTGGGGACATCCCTCTCCCTATCCCCTTTTAGGGAATTAAAGCTTGCAAAAAAATAGTCCAGGTTAAAAAAATAAAAAAGAAGTTATTCCTCTATTGGTTAATTAGGGTTTGTGCAAAGAACTCAAAGGGAAAAAAAGGGGAGACATGTCACATGTCACCTGGAATACGTTGTTGCTTAAAACAACAAAAATCAAGTAACTCCCCTCTCCCTCCATACGCTCAAAACTCCGAGCTCAGACTTCTGTAGTGACAGGATCACTTCCAAAAGACAGCTTTTAATTAGTGTTCTCAATGCCCGTTCCTTGCCTGAAGTCGTAATTGATGTTCTAACATAAAACTAGTCCAGGGGCCAGTACTGGGACACTAAACCGGGTGACTGCTGAAGTAGACACTTATTAAAACCTTAGCGGTTTGTGCTAAGGGATGTTGTACGTAAAACTATGAGAAAAGCAACCTCACAAAACTGCTGCTGTCCACAGCCCTGACCCAAAGCTGGTCTCCTTTGCCAGGCAGGCATAGGCACGAAGTGCCCCCAAACCAGCCACAAAACCCCCAACACCCCCGAACAGGAACCAGGGCACCTCTGGGGCCCTGGGCCTTCCTCCTCCTCCTCCTCCTCACTGTGTGAGCGCAGGACACAGGCTGCTCCCTCTCAGTCCTGCTAACTCTGCCAGCCTGACGAGCACGCGCTACCCGCCACGCACGGCCACAGCTCTACTCTGAAGGACACTCGAACTTGAAAGCAATTCAGAAATAATCTTTTGAGGAAGAAGTTCTGCACTCTTCTCTGTGACCCTCCTTTTTATGCATTAATGCACATGCTCCAAGCATTAAACTCACTGCCTAATCCCCTTTACACAGCTAAGAGTAAGAACAGAGCTATGACCCGTTTTAAGAGTGTTCTCTGTGCCAGTTATTGCTGGGCTTCACTGTTAATGCAGAAGGAACTTCCAATTTCTTATCAGGAAACACTGTCTATTCCACACTGCCTTCCAACTTTTTTCTTCTGCCTGTTGATGGGCATTACAAGTATATACGCATGTATCTCACAAGCCTCAAAATTAAAAAAAGGATATTTACTCTTTGAACATTTTTAGTCACAAAACAGAGCACAGAAGCGGTTTAAGCTGGATATTCTTTGACCTTCCAAATGAAGCCACCTAAACACTTTACTTACTACTAAAGTCATTGTGTCTAAGAACGCACAAATTTATTTCCACATGAAAGATGATTCAGTTTTGCTAATCTAATTACGAAAACAGATTCCTTAAATGATATCGTGGTTCATAAAAAAGAAGTTTCTTACACTATGTAAGAGTATTTTAAAATCATAGATATCTTACCTGTCCTTTCCTCCAGCTTAGCGTACTTGGGAGTATTACACATATTACACTCTGATCTTCGGGCCCAATTCACATTACCACATCTTCAGAGGAAAAAAGAACAAAACATGAATAAAAATATTTCAATTCAAATTGAGAAGTTTGAGTGTTGAGGCAATGATTCAGAGAAATCATAAAAATCTATTTGCCAACTCCTAGCTGCAATCTGCAGCCACTAACGCAAAGCAACGAACTCAAGGCAAAGGGTCCCTTAGACCCAAGGAACTGCAGAAGAGCCCGTGCCACTCTGTGAGCACAAAGGTGACAGGCCACACCAAGGAGAAAGCAGTTAAATGCACAAAGGGATGACTGTACAACATGCATTAGCATAAACCTGAAGTTATGTTTTATCTGAAGCTAAAACTGGACCGACACTTAACAAAAACATACTGAAATGGTTGCAAACTCCACGCAGGTGAAGTAGTCACCAGCAACACTCTAACCCATAAAGGATAAGGGAGCGTCTGCTGTTGCCAGATCTCCTCTCCAGAGCGCAAGAGAGGGGAAGGGAAAGTGAAGAGGGGAAAGGCCATTCCCACTGCAGCCTCCCGTCCCCGGCAGGGACCCTCGCAGCCCCGCTACCCCCCGTGACACGCACACACGGGGCGCAACGCGTCGCCTCCGGCTGCTCCTCCACCCTGCTGCCTCGCACCTCGGTGGCTGCAGGGCAGAGATGGACAAGGCCAGGCTGCCCCGGCCAGGGAGCTCTGCTGACCAGCAAACACCGCTACGCTTAAAGCGGCTGCAGAAAAACTGAGGGGTCCTCGAAAAAGCTTAAGTGTTTAATTAAATGGTATTTTTCTATTTTAGATCTCAGTCTATGCCTTAAATAGTATGTCAGAAAATCTAGCTATGCGGTGTGTTTATTCAATAAATATTTAAAGAATGGTAAAACTAATCACAAGATCACTGTAACGATGGTGTTACTCTCATGTACGTGTGCTTTCCAAACTGAGAAAGGTCTCTGCTTCCCGGAGAGCAACTCCCCTCCTCCCCGTGCCATTACCTCTGTAACTGCTGCCCACCAAGCAACAGCACCGTTTTTTGCTTCGTGGAGAGCAGTTATGTTAAGCCCTGGCCCCGCGGCCGGGCCCGCTCCCGCGGGTGCCCACACGCAGGCCTGGGGACGCGTTTCGGGCGAGCGCGAGGGTTCGGCGCCGCGCGTACGTTTTACACTGCCAGTCGTTGGCACTGAAGAGGCCGCGGCTCTTCTCGGCCAGCGTCTTGCCTATCTCGGTCCCGCCGGCCTTCATCATTTTGGCCTCGGTGGTTTTCTCTGCAAAAGAAAGGGCGGTCCTGAGGCGCTGCCCGCGCGGCGCGGCACGGAACGGCACGGCACGGCACGGCGGGCCGGGCGGGCGCTCACCTCGGCCGCAGCGGTTGCAGCTCGTCCTCCTGGCGAAGTTCACGTTCCCGCACCTGCGGAGAGACACGCGTGAGCGCGGGCCGCGCCGCGGGGCCCGGCCGAGCCCGCGCCGCTCCCCGCCGCCCCTCACTTCTTGTCCGGGCAGATCCAGTCGCCGTCGCTCACGCGGAAGTTCTTGGTCGACATCTTGGGCACGGGGCCGGGCCGGGCCGAACCGGGCCGGGCGC